AAAAAAAAAAAAAAAAAGCTTGTAAACCTACAAAATAACACTAGGGGAGTGGGCCCATACAGGCAGGGTGGGGATTAATCACAAACATGGAGATTTCCGTAGAATTAGCCTAGTCAATTAGCCTGAAAAATAAATGCTAGGCAAAAAGGTTCTGCCCCTCCCTGTACTCCACCCAAAGACCCCTGAACATGCCCAGTGGCAAGACAATTTAAAGGACTGATTAAGGACACATGCTGTAGAGTCAAGCTGCCTGGCTTTAAATCCTGGCTCCACTCTTAACAAGGGCTACTTCTCTGTGACTCAATTTCCTCATCTGTAACTGGTAGATGACAAGTGTACCTACCTCATAGGACCATTGGGAGAATGAAATGAGATCACAGTTAAAGAGCTTAGCATGCTGGCTAGCACACAATAAATACTGAGTAAATACTATTCATGCTAGAATTTCTAATATTTCCAGGGCCCCTCAGTTCTTAAACTGGAATCTCAACATACACTAATACAATTAGGCAGGGCCCTAATTGTGAGCCCACGAACATCCTTATGAAGAAGATGGCATCCTGATTTTAGAGCTGAAAAATGGAGGTTTAGAGGGATTCAGAAACTCAGCTAAACATAGTCAATACGCGTAAGAGGTGGAGCAATAAAAGCTTTGCTCACATCCCAGCAAAGTTTGCATGATGTCATTTACCTCCAAAAGCTTAAAAGCATGCTTTAGCATTCTGGCATGACAACTTCTTGAATGAAGTTATGTTCTTATAAAATCCCTTAGCCTCCCCTACTAAATGAGCATAATTATCTACAGAATCAGAAATATTCTACAAATTCTGATAGACTATCAGAAACGCAAAATTCTTTTTCTTAACAGAATAACATAACAAATACGCAAGGTAAATCATCATGACCATTCTAACTAAACGGCTTTAATAGTTCAAAAGTACTGCAGACCCATAGTATATCAAGTTGTTTTTCTTTCAGGATTTGTAAGTTGATCCTGCAGAAGAATCCACACACTCCTATTGGCCTGTGTAACATCTCTCTTTCCGTATGTTTGGTAAGTGTGTAACAAAATTGATGAGATAGTTACTCCAACTATACCTTCCCATCATCTCTTACGCTATTTATTAAGATTTATTCACTTAATTGCCATAAAAGAAAATATAATCAAATTTAAACTGAGTATATCATGGTGATTCTGATCTCACAGAATATCTTTTAAAACTCTAATACTGAGATCCAGAAATATTTGTAAGTCGTCAAATTTATGTCTCTAAATATTTAAGACTGAACAGCTGCAAGGAAAATTGGGAAAATAAAAAGCCATCTAGTCAAAACTATTTGTCCCCATTCAATGAACTGTTTACCCAGTTTCCTGAAAACAGTTGATAGTAATTACTAATCCATTAAGGGTTTAAAAAATAAAGGACATGCTTGACCTGTGAAAAAAGTAGTGATATGAATATACCAAATCAAATAAATTTATTCCACTTTCTGTTTACTTTACCCAGTCATTACATACTCTTGTAATGCTTTCTGGTAGACAGAAATGAGATAATATAATAAAACATGTAAATTGAAGGAGAAGAGAACCTAGAATGTCTAAATATTTCAGGAATTTATTGCTATTTCAATAACCTGAACCACCAAGTATCAGAAAGCAGAAAGAATTACCACACAACTGTAAAAGTCAAATATTTATACAGGTGCCTTAAAAGCCGCAGTTGGGTGCACACCATCAGCACTGACATTTACTATCTGTTAAGTAGTTTTAAAGTGCAATGGCATAAGTCAAATACCTGGCTTGGAGCGAGAGGTTTACGACAACAATGTAGCATGTCTGGAGAGACCGTGAAGGTGTGATGCCTGTCATAACTTTCATCAGGCCGGCAACAGGCAGCCAGGCTGTGACAAGACCGAACCTCATCACAGGTGCCTTTTCTCATTTCAGGAGGGAAACCTAAGCCCATAGCTTCATGGATAATTGAAAAAGGATTGTTCCGTAAATTCGTAATGTCGTTTATGACTTTCTTGTAATTGCTTTTTAGTAGCTTTCGAAAACAACATTTTTAGGGCAAAAGTAACTGAGAATACAAAGTACTTAGGTATTTCAGCTTCAAACTGAGAAAAGGGAAAATGTTAACTAGGAAAAGCGGCTAAAAAGATTATAAAGCCCAAAGGCTACATTCAATAAAAAGTTCGAATTTTCAGAAATGACAAAAGTCTGAATGTTCAAGTTATCCCTGGTGGTATGTTATCTAAATTTACAATTAGGAATATCTCCTTAATGGATAATTTACAAATTTATAATTAGGAATGCCTCCTATTAATCTTATAATAATTCTAAGAAACTCCCTTCTAAGGGTAAAAAGAAACATGAGATACAGAAACATTTGTGAAACTTCAGCTCCTGAACTAATTTTAAAACAAACAAACAAAGAAACCAGGCTAAGTAAGCTAAGTCAGAGTTCCTCAATACCCAACGTTCATTCCCCTACATCTTCCTTCCAAAGAGAATACGCCTGTTCACGACCTGGGAGTGGGTTCAAGTTTTCAGGTGAAGACTAGCGCCAGGCAGTGAAACCTCCAAGCGCTTTTCTAAACTCTGAGGGGCAAAGCCAGTCACACCCACCAGCAGGGCCCGACGGGGATCGGGAGCTCCTTCCCAGCTCGGTACCTCCGGCCAGGCTGGGCGCCCCCGCCAAGAGCTCGCAGTCCAGCCTCGGGCGCCAAGGACGGCCCGAGGGATGCCACAGGTGGCCCGGGAGGCTCGCTCCCCTCTTGGCACTGAGGCCCCAGCCCACCCCCGCCGCCCCGAGGCCAAAGGTGCCCTGCAGCCTCAACGTGGGCACCTCGAAGCCGACGAGAGTTCCGAACAGGGCTCAGATGGCCCCTGGGGTCCGATGGCCGGGTGTGCCGCGTCGGCCCGGGGCAGCGACTCCAGCTTCGCCTCTAGGCCAGGCGTGTCGCAGGGTCCCGGAGGGGCGTTGGGAAGCGGGTGGGCGCAGGGGTCCGGGCACCGGCAGCTCCGCACCCCTCCCGAGACCCCTCGACGCACCGCGAGCCGGCGCCACCCCCGCCCCCCGCGCGGCCGAGTCTCCGGGACAACAGCCGCCGCGTCCCAGCGGGCCCGCGCCCCCGCGGCCGGCGCCCACCTGTCCCGGGGGTCGATCCAGCTGGTCCTCCTGGTGTTGTGGTCGATATAGAAGACCTTGCCGTCGTAGTCCCTGGCCTCCTCCCAGCCCCGGGGCAGCGGCAGCTGACCGCTCCCGGCCCTCCTAGGCATGGTCGGCGGCCTCGCCGGCGAGCGGCTCCTCCATAGGGACCCGGCGCGGGACGCAGCGGGAACGCGGCTGCCCGGCCCGGTCGCCAACCAGCGACGCGGGCGCCGGCGAGGGGCTGAGGGGCGCGGGGCGCGGCGGAACCACGCGCGGGAGGCGCCTCAGGAAACGCTGCTCGCGGCCCCGCTGGGGATCAGTCCACCATGTCTGCGTCGGAGCCGGCGAGCGAACCCTCCTCCCCTTCGCCGCCGCTGCCTCCGCCTCTTCCTCCTCCTCCGCCCAGTCCCCCTGTGGCCGCCGAGGGTCGCGGCGCCCAGGCTGCCGGAGCCGCCGCCGTCTGGGCTCGGATCCGGGAAGCGGCGGCGCGGCCGCGGCGGCGGCGGGCCCCTCATTTGCATGCGATTAGCATACGCCCGCCCGCCTCATCTGCATGCGCATTCCTCCCGCCGCATTCCTGCGCTTAACCCCGCCGCTGCCGGCGCCGCGGCTCCAGCCTGGGCGCACCGCCCGGGAGGGGCGGGGGAGGGGCCGCGGCTCCAGGTGGGAGGGAGGCGGCGAAGGAATGTGCGGCGGGCTCCCTCCCCTTGACCCCAGAGAGCTCCCCGGGCCAAACGCCTAGAGGTTTTAGAGTTTCTGGACTGGGAATATTGCAAGAAGTCTCCGCAACCTTCTCAACCTCTCGTCTTCTAAGGAAACCACGAAACTTTCGAGAGGAAAGCGGGTGGGGTGGGAGCTGTCCTCGGAAGGAAAAACCCCCAACAAGCAGGGAGGGCACAAAGGCTCCCCACGCCGCGCCCCGAGCCCCTCCTGCACCCCTGCGCGGACCGGGGAGGTGGGAAAGCGCCAAGCCGCGGGGGCGCGTCGGTGGGTCCGGGACGGCGGGGCCTCTGCAGGGCGCCTGGCCCTCGGTGACCTCGGCAGAGACCGCGGGCCGCGCGGCGGAAAGCGGAGAAACTCCCGCCCAGCCCTGGAGCCGCCCAGGAGCCACCCGCCGCCCCGCCGCGTCGGGGCGCTCCAGACGCGAGGCCCCGGAGGCTCCCGGTCCCTGGCCTCCCCTGCTGAGTTTGGGGCGGTTGGCCGTGGGCGCGCCCCGAGTCCGGTGCCTTCCGTCCAGCCGCCCACCCCGAGATGTCTCCCCCACCACAGCCCCGCCGTGGCCAACGAGGTGGGAGCGGCCACTACGGAGAGACCCACGGCGGCGCCGGACGCCAGCCCTTCCTAGGCCCCTGCCCGGCCGAGGCGGCCCGGAACCTTCCCTGCTGCGCAGGCCTTTATTTATTCAGCAGCTACTACGTGCTGGCCGGCACTGCCGAGGGAACGGCCCCCGGCCCCAGGCGGGGCAATGCCGGGAGCACCGCCGGCGGGGCCTGGATCCCGAGCTTCATTGTCCCCGGCCCCTCAGTCTGAGGCGGCGCCCCCCAGGCCCAGATCTCCCCTTCAGCCGGTTTACACCGCCGCGCCCCATCATCTTCTTCTGGGCTACCGAGCAGTTCTTTTAAAATGACAACACCGAGGAAGGCCCCGAAACCCAGTCTTGCACCTCGTGGTGTGAGTCGTTTAATCCTGCCCGCTAAAGCGTCAGGAGTTTCCCCCGTGTGCAGGACTCGGCGCTGGGCAGGGGCTCCCGCGGGGGTCCCGGGGGACCGACCTCCGCCTCCCCTGCGGGTTCACAGGCCTGCGAGGGAGTCGCGTGAAGGAGACTCGCGCTGTGCGGGGCTGGCCTGCGCTAGGGCAGCCGCTGCCCCGGGGTGAGGGCGGCTTTCGGCTCCCGAAGCCATCCCGTCGGGGCGTCTGCGGCTAATCTCTCAGGCGGAGAGGCTCAGACTTGGAACACACTTCACGGAAGGGGTCCTAGAAGGGGCAGGGGGGTCGTGTTTGCCCTTAGACCAGTCTGGGCGTGAAGTGGACACTTTAAACCACCAGAAACGCTGGAGAGCTTGCAGCGCCTGGGAAGGAGCCATCGGAGCGGCCGGAGGTGGGGAAGGAAGGCACCCACGGCGACTTGGCTCGCCTTGACCGCCTTTAGGGCTGCCGCTTGCGCGGCCAGGCTTCTGGAAGCCAGGCTCCGCGCTTGGTGAAGAGAAGCCCCCACCTTCGGATCTGGGTTCTGCCCCAGAGTCCATTAATCAGGAGGTGATCACACAAGTCCAGCTTCTCTAGTTCCCGGTGGAATGAGACGCCCTGGTGGGGCCTTAAGGTTGAGCGTTTGAATACTGCAAAAAAAAAAAAAAAATAGGGCCTGTGTACAATTAATCTCTCACTATGAGCAAATGTACGTTGTTTTGGACTCTCTAAATTGGCCCAAATGCATGGCCAACACTTGCATTGTGGTGTACTAACAACATCATTCAGCACTAAACCAAACCATCCTGATTTAAACCTTGCTTCCTGGCTTACTTTTTGCCCCCAAACAATTTGAACACATTTATTATACTAAAATGTCTGTATCTTCCTATTAAAAAAAAAAAAAGTAACACATTTTCCTGCTGCCGTAATTTCTTTTACTGAGAGGAACTGTTCTACAGTACTTGTAATTTCAAATGTGTTAAGCTTTCAGCTAGGTAGTTTTACCCAAATTCTAAAACCAGTGAGGAATCCAAAATAGCGTGCAGCATTAAATGAAGTTTATTGTTCCATAAATCTTCAGACTTCAAAAAGCAACGCTAAATAGACAAACAGAACTCTAAAACAATTAAGAGACTAGCTGGCTGCTTCTTCCCCACTGACTGGCATGGGAAACATTTGGTCATACAAAAGCTGTTAAAATGACAGAAAGGAGAGTTGCCACTCTCTAGCCTTTTTTGTTCTGATCAAGTTTGAACTCTGCTGTTCTGAGTTCACACAATTTAGGTAGTAACAGACCTTCAGAGAATTCATAATGGTCAAGTCAATGAAATTGCATTTATATTTGTATCTGTGAAAGGAAAAGAAATATGAAGATTATCCCCATCTTCGAGAGGGACACATTGGATTCGGGCTTCAGTTGATCCTTGGCAAAGATAGATGGTGCAATCTGCTGTCCAGGACGCCATTTTATCCTAGCCTGGAACCGAGTTCTAGCCGCTGAAGAGCCAATTCTGTGGCACTCAAAATGTTCTTTTCCTCTGGCTTCATGTTTTCTCCCCAGCGCTAAGTCTGTGGGGATAAGCCTCGGTAAGCAAAGCTGCCACTGTCAATATCCTCATCTTGAGTGGCAGGAAAATTAGTACTATCAAAATTGGGAGTAGGCAGTGAAAATTATTTTAAAAGATAATTTTATTATCTACAAATTTAAAATATATCAGGTGGCCCAGCTGCGATGGTTCAAGCCTATAATCCCAGCACTTTGCGAGGCCGAGGCGGGCAGATCACCTAAGGTTAGGGGTTGGAGACCAGCCTGGCCAACATGGCGAAATCCCGTCTATAGTAAAAATACAAAAATTAGCCGGGTGTGGTGGCAGGCACCTGTAGTCCCAGCTACACAGGAGGCTGAGGCAGGAAAATCGCTTAAACCTGGGAGGCAGCGGTTGCAGTGGGCAGGGATTACGCCACTGCACTGCAGCCTGGGCAACAGAGCAAGACTTCATCTCAAAAAAACAAAATTAAAATAAAAAATAAAAATAAAATATGTCAGGAATACCTGTAGTCCTAGCTGCTTAGGAGGCTGAAGCAAGATCACTTGAGGCCAGGAATTCAAGGCACTATGATCTTGCCTTTGAATAGCCACCACACTCCAGCCTGGGCAACATAAGAAGACGCTATCTCTTAAAAAAAAAATGTGTGTGTGTGTTATTAAATGGGAATATGTAAAGACACACACACACACACACACACACACACATTTAATCCAGCAATCCCAGTACAATTATTTTCCTATGACATTAAAGTTGCTCAAGATATGCAAGGATATTCACTGCAGCATGTTTGATAATAACAAAACTAGAAAAACCACCAGTAGCCATCAGTAATGGACTAATTAAATGAATTATGAATTATCCATAGTTAGCAGGCATTTTAAAAGCATTAGATAAACATATATGTGCTGGTAAGGAAAGATCTCCAGGATAAATTAAGTGAAAAAAGCAAGGTGCAAAAAGACACTGGGCTGGCTAAGTTCAGTGGAGTTACAATCCCATTCTGGAGATGGGGCCAATCGTAAAATGTAAAGAACACAGCTTCCTGTACACTTCCTTCATGCCAAAGGAAGAACACAGATCGTAAAGGAAGGAAGTTCTTAAAGAGGATTAGTGCTGTCAGGGAGATCCATCAAAGACGTATCATGAGGTAAATAATCATAAAGGAAAAGAGATAGGGAGAGATGAGCATAGACTCGAGGCTAAAATGGACAGGTGTGGTGGGGCATGTTTGAGGAAAGAAATGGGTGTGCAAAGTTCAAAGATGAAGCTGGCCTGAAACAGCCCAAGACTGGCTGGAGCCATCCAGTTAGGAGGCTGTTGTGATGGTATAGGTATGAGACAGATAAGGTCTGGATTAGAAATAAAGCAATGAGGATGAAAAGAAGTGGTTTGGCAAGAATTTGCAACTGATTAGATTAGGAAGGAGAGAGGCAAATAGACTAGAAGCAGGAATCTGAGACAATTCCAAGGTTTTAGACCAAAGAGCTGGAAAAAATGAGGAAGTCCAAAGCGGGATCTGATATGCAGTTTGATTTTAGAAATTAGAGAGATACCCAGCAGAAAGTTAAAGGTCAAGACTAAAGCTCGAAGCAAAAGGTCAGGACTGCAAATAAATGGCTGAATGTCTACCCTAAAAGTCTGTAGGGAACTGAATATTCAGGACTGAATCTTGGGAAGGAAACATCAGTGCAAGTCAAACAGAATTAAGTAACCCATCTATAATCCTATTTTTGGCCTTTATAATTTGGTATAATTTTATTTCTTTGTACAATGTGGTCTCCATTTTCAGCTATGTGTGTAAGAGTTAGTTGTTAGTGTATAAATCGTCTCTGAATGAATTATTGTTATAACCTTTATTGTTATGCTAGAGAATCAGCTCTGTGTAAGACAAGATGAACTGGTTTTCAGTACTTTAATAACTCTTGTTTCTTCAAGGAGATCAGGCATTATACAGACTTCAAATTCTAAATAAAAACAATGTTCTTTATTTCTTAATCAAACTATCGGCCTTTTTTTTTCTTGGCAACTGGGTAAAACAAATATCTCTCATTATTGTGATTAGGAAACCATAAGGCGCAATTCCTAAATGTTACTGTCTGGACAGTTCTTAAGAAGAAAGGCATGTGATCTTTAAGAATTACCAGTGCTGGCCGGGCGCAGTGGCTCACAGCCGTAACCCAGCACTTTGGGAGGCCAAGGCAGGTGGATCATTTGAGGTCAGGAGTTTGAGACTATCCTGGCCAACATAGTGAAACCCCCATCTCTACCAAAAATAAGAGAAATAGCCAGATGTGCTGGCATATGCCTATGATCCCAGCTATTCAGGAGGCTGAGGCAGGAGAATCCCTTGAGCCTGGGAGGCGGATGTTGTGGTAAGCTGAGAACATGCCATTGCACTCCAGTTTGGGTGTAAATAAAAATTAAATTAAATTTAAAATTCCCAGTGCTAGGTCAAACCAGAATCCTCAGTTACCATAACCACTTCCCCTGCAGTTAATGATTACACCAACACCTTAGGCAAAAAGTCATTTCCATTTATTAATAAGAAACATCAAACAGATTCTGTATCACCTTATTCATTGCAGATGGGAGACTAACATTGGTCAAATTCTATGATTGCTAAAAAAGAAATAGTGAACACTTAAAATCTGTTTCATTAGTGAAAAGAAGCAGATGCTCAAATACCACACTTTTGTACATATAAGGGTCTCAGAGGGCACCTCTTGTTTTCTCTGTAGAGGAGGGTTTTAGGGTAATTCATGCATAGTCTTTTATTATTATTATTTTAAATTATATAAAAAATAGAGCTGGGGATCTTACTATGTTGCCCAGGCTGGTCTCGAACTTCTTGCCCCAAGCAATCCTCCTGCCTCAGCCTTCCAAAGTGCTGGGATAACAGGCATGAGCCACTGCACCTGGCTTACATTATTTCTTATGTAACAGAATAATATGAGGTTCTATTTTTCTTTCACTGTCTTTAATTTGCAACTTTTTTTTTTCTGTTTCAACTTTATAGTCTGTGAAAAATACCTTCTTTAAAAGATAGGATTCAGCCGGGCATGGTGGCTCATGCCTGTAATCCCAGCATTTTGGAAGGCCAAGGTGGGCGGATCACTTGAGTTCACGAGTTCAAGTCCAGCCTGGGAAAGATGGTGAAATCTCCTCTCTACTAAAAATACAAAAATTAGCCAGGCGTGGTGGTTCACACCTGTATTCTCAGCTACTCAGGTAGCTGAGGTGGGAGGATGGCTTGAGTCCAGAAAGTGGGGGTTATAATGAGCCAAGATTGCACCATTGCACTCTGGCCTATAAGACAGAGCCAGATTTTGTCTCAA